ACTGGTTATTGATTTGCAGTCCCCATCTTACAAAACATCCAGTGCCCTGCGTATGCTTTGAATGTTCATTTCCCAGTTTTGTTTCTTAATCCTGCTGAAAGCTCTGCGTTTAAGGGGAAGGGCAGAGTCAGCTGGAACGAACATCTTCTAACACTGGGATAAATGGTTTGACAACCATCCTGGGTCTCATATGGAACCCTGGTGGCACAGTGGCTAGGAGCTCAGCTGCTAACCGAAAGGTTGGTAGTTCAAATCCACCAGCTGCTCCTTGGAAACCCTATGGGGCCCTTCTACTCTGTCCTCTAGTGTTGCTATGAGTCAGAATTGACTCGACCGCAATGGGTTTGCTTTTGGTTTTTGTGTCTCAAATGCATGTTTTCTCTGAGGATATTGTTTGGCTAGAGTTAAAAACATTCATTTGATAGTCTTCTGGTTTTCTTTTTCTCCCAGCTGAATAAGAATTTGAGCCCTGAGGTTTAGGATCTCAGATCTGGGGCAGCAGAGATTGCTTGCTGGTCCCCAGGCCTCCCATTTCACAGGAGGAGGTGGCAGAAAAGCTGTAGAGTCATATTAATTCAGTATGGCTTGTAGAGTTGAATTCTTGCGGAGATAGTTATTGGACAAGCAGATACGCGAAGGACCAGCTCCGCCCAAAGTTCAGACATGCCCAGAGGGCTGGAAGGAGTCACCTGGGAAGCCCTTTGTCAAAAGACTGGGTTGGTTCAGTAGCTGTATAAGTCTCAGTGAGAAAACGGCAGGAACCAGGTTTAGCATGCATTCGGAGCCTCATCATTTCACCTAGAAAAGTAAGAGCACACAGGGATTCTCTCAGGGTGCTGCCCAAAGGTCCAATAGAATGTGTCCAAGAAGGCAAGCTGCTCCCAGGTGCTCATGGGGTCTAGGCTCTTGAACTCAGCCTCTAAAAATGCCCTGGAACGTCTCCTCTTTCTCAAAGAAGCAGATGCTTCAGCACTTTGGGGAAAGATACGTTTCACGTGCTTTCCAAAGAAGGTGCCAAAGCTGGCCCAAATTAGAGTCCCTGGGGAACGGGGAGGCGATCGGGTAGAGCTTGAGGGTTGGCCACAAACCACTAACCCGAGGTCTTGACCCCTTTCTTTATCCCTAAGTGACGCAAACTGTTAATACACTCAGCTGCTAACCGAAAGGTTGGAGGTTCGAGTCCACCCAGAGGCACCTCGAAAGAAAGCCCTGGCAATCTACTTCTGTAAAATCAGCCATTGAAAAACCTACAGAGCACAGTTGTACTCTGACACATGTGAGGTTGCCACGAGTCAGAGTCAACTCCAAGGCAACTAGTTTTTCCCTTATCCATCCCAAGCATGTGCTGGGAGGCTCAGGTGGTGCTGGTTGCTTTGGCTGGGCCACCTCTGTTCTAAAAGTCTCCAGATTATGTTTTCATGGGGACATAGATTCCTCCTCAACATCCACTCTCGGCTAATTGACATTTTTCCCCCGCCCCCAGATGCTGATCTGGCAACACCCCAGGGCTGCCCCTGTTTTGGTTCCAGTCTTAGAGACTTTCATGCATAACCTGACAAAGCCCTGGGGCAGCTCGTGTCAGCTCCCCCACATTCAGCTTCATTAGGTGGATAGACTTGCTAGTGTCTGATTTGAGCAAAGTCCCTTACTCTCCTCCCTGAGAGCCCCAGAGGCCGAAACCAACTGGAGCCAACTGCCCAGCCTCCCTGCCCGCTCCGATACCTCCTGCAAGAGTGTAAAGGAATGGAAGGAACAGAGCAAAGTGGGTGAGATGGGGAAATTAAGAGCCCATTGTGCTTGCTAGGATGGTGGCCAAACGGTGCCACTTCGGAACACCGTGTAAATCACTGAGTCCCCTTGCATCACAGCAGAGGATCCAGAGCGGGCCAGCCAGTTGAGGCCCTCATGTAGCCTTGCTGTCAGCAGAGCGCCGTTCTGGGTCAGCACCGCTTTGCTCTTGGAGTGCTGACCATTATTCCAAGTGTTTCAGTACACACACCACCCACGTTTGCAGTTCCCTACTTTCGCTTCCTCACTTTATTTCTGGGATTAACTTGGTTTACTATTCCATTTAAGAAAGAAGACGCATTATTAACCCATTGCCATCAAGTTGAATTCTGACTCATAAAAAAAACCAGAAACCAAACCTCTTGCCATGGAGTCACTTCCAACTCATAGTGACCCGACAGGACAGAGTAGAACTGCCCCACAGGGTTTCCAAGGAGCGGCTGGTGGATTCCAACTGCTTACCTTTCAGTTAGCAGCCAAGCGTTTAACCACTGTGCCACTGGGGCTCCTAGCCTCACAGCGACACGTTATTAGCAGATATAATTTGAAAAAGCTGCCGTTTATTCATTTTTGCATACAATAGCCCGGCATGGGGTCACCGTGAGTCAGGGATGACAGCAACAACATAGCTGTAATTATATTGAACCTGCCATTTTCACTCAGCATTCCAAGAATAGCCTGTCTTCCTGTATAATCACAATAATTTTCATGGTTGCATCGTAGTCCATTGAATGGAAATGTCACAGGTACCCTGGTAGCTCAGTGGTTAAGAGCTCAGTTGCTAAGCAAAAAGGTCAGCAGTTGGAATCCACCAGCCGCTCCTTGGAAAGGTTTTCTCCCTAGTCTGTGTGATTCCTTAGGTTGGGCTCTCCAAGATCTGTTAGAAAGGTGACGAGCATGTCGGCCAGGGCTTCTGGAACTTCAGCGTGCATACAGATCACACGTGGATCTGGTTGAAAAGCAGATTCTGACTCAGTAGGTCTGGGGCTGGCCTGAGAGTCTGCATTTCTAGCAAGCTCCCATGTGATGCCGAGGCCGCTGCTCAGGCCATTGGCCATCATGTAACGGCGTTGGTGTCCTGGCATTGTGAGGGTTACAAGACCCACTGTACCAGCCTGGTGCGTGGGCTGGTTACCTAGGAGCTGTGCCCCTTGCGATCCTTTCTAATCAAGAGGAAAGTTTTGATTAGGCTGGCGGCCAGAAGAGGTCAAAACTAGCCCCTGCTCAATCCCGGCTGCCGTTACGGTTGCCTGCAGAGCTTTAGAAAACGAACACAGATGCCAGGACCCCTCTGGACCTGTACAAACGGCATCCCTGGCAGTGGCACCTGGCTACTAGTATTTTTAAAAACTTACCTAGTTTTAAAGGTGACTCCACAGTTGAGGACCATTGTTTTAGTGCACAGAAGGCCCACCCTAAATGTCACTGAGCGCCAGCCATGTTTTAAACCTAATTGGATGAAAAGCTCAGAACTCTATATGTGACCGAGTCCCCAGGTACCTCTCTCTCTCTCACATACGTACACACACACACACATTGTCTCACACACGCACTCTCACATACACACACTCTCACACACGCACTCTCACATACACAAACACACACACACTCTCACGTACATACACACACACACACGTACTGTCTCACACACACTCTGTGTCACACTCACATACACACAGACACATACACACTCACACACACAAACACACAAACACACACACACTCTGTCACACACACTCTCACACACACACACTCTGTCACACACACTCACACACACACACACTCATTCTCACTATTGCTCTCTATCACTTAATAAGGCCTAGATTCTTTCCCCCAAATAGATGATTCTACCAGTTGAGACCAACTGATTGGTACATTTTCCTCCTGGGGTCAGGGCTGCTTTGAAGCTTTAAAAATACAGATACTGCTTTTCCATTCCTGCCTGCTGTGCAGTCGAGGGCTGGTTTCCCCCTGGACGTGCCGTCTAATGGTGACCCCAAGCCTGCGCCTCTCGGTCACGTCACCCAGTTTTGCTCTCTTCACAGCACATCACTGTTTGAATGGGTCTGAGTCTGCATTCGTTCTCTTGCTCATTAGCAGTCTGCTTGGCTTGTCTTTAAGCTTCAGGACAGCAGCGATCTAGTTCATCTAGTCCACGGCTGCTTCCTCAGAATACTGAAGATCAGTTCATCTTTGTCCAAGAGTATGATTTTGGCATCATTTTAGAAAATTCTTAGGGTCTGCTTCCAGCCCGGGCTCCAGGATCAACTGATGCTAGACAAGGCATCTAACTTCTCCAGCCCCCGTTTCTCCATAGCCCACCCCCTAGTCATGACGTCACGGTGAGGGGCACACCCTGTATATAGCTCCCTAAGCATCTTGAAAAGAAAGTATTCTGAATAGTTTGATGAAGATAATTTGATCATATTACCCACCCAGCTCAAGAGCCTTCAATGGCTCCCCATTACTCACTGAATAAAACCTGCTGATCTGCAAACAGCATTCCCTGACGTTTCTCCCATCCCACCTGCTGCAAAGCCCCCAGTCCTATCAATGCCCTGTGCTTTGGACACTCACACCCTCAGGCTGGAGGCTCTCCTCCACCTTGTCCATCTGATGCTTGCTTATTATGTCCTCCGGGAAACCAGCTGTGGGTGCCACCTTTTCCTTTTCCTTTGTTGCCCCTTGTCTGCGCTTTTTTCTTTTAGAACTTAACACATTGTATTAAAGTTATCTGTAGGGTCGCTGTGAGTTGGAATTGACTCAATAGCAACAGGTGTATAGTATATGGGTATAGGGTCATCATGAGTCAAAATCGACTCGACCACAACGACTTTATTAGTGTGGCCAGGTCCTTTAACCAGACTGTGAGCTCCTTGAGGCCAGGTAGGATGTGACATATCTTTTATTCCCCACCCTTAGCACAGTGCCTACCTAGCACACAATAGGTGTTCATGAAATCATTGTTGAATGAATGAATGAACAAGATAGAATAGGCTTTGGTCACATGCAAGCCTGGAAGGTCATTCTCACGGTTGAAAAGCTCATACTGACATGGTTGTAACAAGAGCACAGATTGACTAGCTGGTGCCTGGTGCCAGCATGGCCTCGGCCCTGGGGGTGTGCAAGATGGCGGGCAGGAGGCCCAGGATGCCCTGTGCCCCCGCCAGTCACCACCCCCTGGAGTAACACCTGCTCTTTCTCTTCGGCAGTTGCCTTTTCTGGCCTTGGCTTCACAACGTTCTACTTGGCCGGCAAGCTACACTGCTTCACCGAGAGCGGGCGGGGCAAGAGCTGGCGGCTGTGCGCCGCCATCCTGCCCCTGTACTGCGCCATGATGATCGCCCTGTCCCGCATGTGTGACTACAAGCATCACTGGCAAGGTGAGTCCCCGTCCAGGCCCCCCACCCTCGCAGCGGTCCACCCCTTCCCTTCAGGAGCAGGGGCAGACTCAACCAGCGTAGCAGACCCGGTTCCAAAGCACATCACATGTTCAGGCGCATGCGGGCCTTCCTGCTGCCCTTGCCGGGGCAAGAATGGAGCCCCTCCTCCCCTGGCGTCTAAAAGAGACTCTGCCCACGTCAGGCCCTTCTCCCTGGCCAGGGACCCAGTTGTGTTTTCCCCCTTGGATCACTTGCCTCCGTCCTCTTACTGGGTGCCAAGTGGCCTTGGCTCCTTCCACACATCACATCCACCCTACAAGGACATTTCTCACCACGGATGCTCTGCCAAGGGGTATGCCCGGCTGAGGGATGAATTCCAGCAATGCTCCGAGCGGCTGCTGCACGGCTGGGAGGAGGCCCACCTATTGTATCAGGCCTGGGATATGTGTAAAGAAAACAAAGTAACACAGAATAATTGAGAGGCTTGTCCCGGGAATCTAACCTACCATGCCGTGTCCCTCTGTAGATAAATTGCAGCCCACAGCCGGCCTGGAGAGAGTCATCCCCACCACGGCAGACGGGGCAGACAGGTGGCCACGGGAGGTGTGGCCTCCACCAGGCAGTCCTCCTATCACCTTGATAGGCCCTGGGAGCTAGGAACCGGGCTCTCTGGGGTGAGTCCTGAGTGGTGCCCAGGAATCTGCATTAATAACAAGCAAGCCCATTATTTCTTTTTTTTTAGTTTCTTGTTAGTATTTTTTTTAACTATTTTTTTAAATTGATGTAATTAAATGAAGTTTACATTTCAAGGTAGTCTCCCATACAGAATTTTTTTTTTTTATAACATACATTGTTATGGGACCCCAACTGCTCACCCCTTTCTGCGACAGTACACTCCTCCCCTCCGCCCCTGATTCCCCATGAACATTCAACCAGCTCCTAACTCTCTCTACCTTCCCCTCTAACCTCTGGACAGAAGCCGCCCCTTTGGTCTCTTATATCTACTTGTCTAAGAGGCACATTCTTCACGAGTATCACTTTATGTCCCCCAGTCCAGTCCAATCCCTGTCTGAAGAGTTGGCCTCGGAAATTGTTTTAGTTCTGGGGTGATGGAGAGACCAGGGGCCATGCTTTCCGGGGCACCTCCACTCTTAGTCAGACCATTAAGTCTGGTCTTCTTACTAGTATTTGAGTTCTGCACCCCATCCTTCTACTGCTCCATCAGGGACCCTCTGTTGTGTTCCCTGTCAGG